GAGAGACTTCAGATCAAAACGCGAAGAACACGAGTTAGATTCGTGGTAAGAAATTTGAGTGCAGAAAAACAAAAAATAAGCACGAGTCTCACACGTGAGACGTCAAATGAAAACGTGAAGAACACGAGTCAGATTCGTGGTTTCATTCTTATCGATATATGTCTTTTTATTTTTACCATAATTAATTAATAATTACAATTAGTATTATAATTATTGTCCGAATAATCGGGTGTTGAGGTATAATTAAATATGGAATTTATTTTTAAAAATCTTATCGTCAATTTTTTTTTTTTTTTCGTAGAAAGAAATAAAAAACAAGAAATAAGAGATACTACGACGTTTGGTATTCGACGTTTAAGATGGAAATGTTATTTTTAAACTATGATGATCTTTGATAAAGAAAATGTCACATTTTTATTGATTATTTTATTTCCAATATTTCACTTTACAATAATAATAATAATAATAAAAACGGATGATAACAAAAGTAAACAAATAATATAAATGCACACATAAAGTTTTATCAACTACTAATATATATATATATCACACTTAATCTTATAAGGCACATATTTAAATTGTCAGTAATCAAAAATAACATTATTTACGATTTATCAATCAGAAAGATTTAGAAATTTTAAACATTTTCGAATATACCAGCTTTCATAGAATGTAATTGATTATTTTTAACGTCTACTAATCGTCCTTCGCCAATGGTTAAACCATAAAATGCACCATTCTTGAGTATTTGAAAAGGATTATTAGAAACGTCTAAGTTAAATAAACTGGCCAAATGTTTGCAAGAACCTTTTTCGATGTTGTCAATTTTATTATTAGAAAGGACAAGTTGTAGTAAGTTGGATAAACCTTGGAAACTGTCACCATTGATGGTGGTAAGTGAATTATTATTCATATACAAATTAAGAAGATCTGAATATAGAAAAGCACCTGGTGCTATATAAGATATTTGATTGTGATTTAAATATAACGTGTGTTTAGGTGAATCAACGAAACTATCCTTTTCCAAACTTTGAATTTGATTCTGATCAAGATGTAAGGTTGCCATTGAAGTTGGTAAAATGGGAAAATTATTCTCGGATATGGTGGTAAATTTATTTCCCATGAGATTCAATTCACGAAGAACGTTAAGATGAGTAAACAAATTTCTGGGTAATTGGTTGATATTATTTTGATAAAGATAAAGTATCTTCAAGTTTTTCAAATCGGAAAATGCTTTAGGTTCGATCTCGCTAATGTGATTTCTCGTCAATATCAATACCGGTAAATTTTCTTGACCTTGGAATGTATTATCTCGCAATTTAGTGAGTTTATTATTTCCCATATTGAGATAAGACAAATGTTTCGGTGAAGAAGAAAAGGTACCAGGTTCTATAGAAGCTATTTGATTACTGGTCAAAATAAGTTGACTCAAATTCGACGGCAACGTTTGTACAAAATCTAAATTGGTCAATTGATTATCGGCTAAAAATAAACTAAATAGATCAGTTTTATCGAATGCATTACTATCGATATTTGTGATAACATTGGCCTTGAAGTTAAGTTTTTTCAGATGGGGATTAACAATAACGTCCTTTTTTAAATGACTAATTTCATTGCTAGCAAAATTAACGATTTTTACGCTGGCTGGTAAATCGTTTAACAATTCTTTAGTTATTTCGTTAATATGATTGTCGGATAAATCGATCGAACTTATTGGCAATTTAACTTGATACCATCCATTTTCAAATGATCCAATATTCTTATTACTAAGATCTAATTCACCGGTATGTCGATTTAACGTAACATCTTGACATTGTCTCGGTAAAGTTTCCTTATCGTTTAAACTGTTTACCAATGTTACAACGTCATTCGTCATGCACAGTATAACCCTGGGATTTTCCTCGAGTTGACCGTTGTTATCTCTTTTAAACCTACGATAAATTTCTTTTTCCTGTTTCATTTCAAGATCACGTATTTTTCTTTCGATCGTTTCAATCTTACTTTCTGTACTTTGATTTTCATTATTCATTTGTTTATTATCATTATTTCTATCGTTGATTAACAAATTAGCGAAAAGATCGGTACTGATGCTAGACAATACGTTATTGGATATTATTATATCGGTATTTTTGTTCAAACCGTAAAAATTGCCACGTTTTAATTGGTCAATAGGATTGTTCGAGATATCCAATTCGTTGAGATTTTCTAATCCAACGAATAGCGTGTTGAGATTGTCGATTTTGTTATTAGCCAATGACAATTTTTCTAATTTGTTCAAATTGGAAAAAATGCCGTCTGGTAAATTGGTCAAAGCATTGTCAGAAAGGTTTAATATTCTTACGTTGGAAACGTGTTCGAATGCATTTCTATCGATTTCTTTTAATCCAAGACTCGACAAATCGAGAATATCGCTGGGTTCGATAAATTTAACTGATTTTAATTTACCATTTTCTATTGACAAATCATATTTCTCTTGGGCAGTTTTTAATGGAATCGCTGTTACCAACGGTAGAATGAGAAATAACAAACGCATTTCTGAAAATGGAAAATAAACAAAATTATTATATGACAATTTTTGTAAAAATCATAATTAACAATAATAGATAATAATTTTTATTGCAAATTAACGTATATATTGGATTGTTCGGAAAGTAATTTCGTTTTTTTTCCTGTTCAACAATTTTGGCATTGGTTGATGCAAATCGGCAAATAAAAACACGTGAGATCGGTGGAAGATTAAATTTAACAAAAATTCAACTGTTTATCCCCACTTGAAAGACTTAAGTTTAACCTTAAAATGAAAATTGTTTTCATTTTTATAAAAGAAAAAATGAAATTACTACAAATTCAACTGTTTATCCCCACTTGAAAAACTTTAATTTAATCTCAAAACGAAAATTGTTTTCATTTTTATAAAAGAAAAACTAAATTCAACTGTTTATCCCCACTTGAAAGACTTCAATTTAACCTCAAAACGAAAATTGTTTTCATTTTTATAAAAGAAAAACCAAATTACTTTTCGAACAATCCAATATAAAATATATATTATTATAAATATTATTATTTTATTATTTTATTAATTATTATTTATTAATTTAATAATATTTTAAATATTTTATTAATATTATTATTTTATTAATCATTATTATTATTAATTTTATAATATTTTATATATTTTATTAATTTATTACTATTACTATTAATATATTTAGTATTTTAATTAAATTATAATTATTATTATATAATTATTATTATTTTTAAAAAAATATAATATTTAAATTATAATAATTATATATATAATAATATAATAAAATTACACACACACACACAATTATTATAATATTATTTTTATATGTATATATATATATATAACGTCAAAACTATATTATATTATTATTATTTTTATTATTATTATTATTAATATTATATTAAAAGTGATCTCATATAAGAAACATTAAAAATAAACATAATTTTTCAATGAAATTTATTCGAATGTAATTTTAAATGTTATTATCAAATCATTGTTATTGTCAATTTGTTATCTTCAACACTGTATCATACTTATTTATTATCTCGAAATTATCTATTTATACACACATTATTCACACATTATTTATTTATTCACAACTGTAATTATTGTTATATAAATATCTAAAAACAATAATATATATATATATTATTTATTTATTTATAATTAATAATCACTTTTATAATTATATTATTATTATATAAATTAAATATTAAATTATATTTAATATAATTATATTAAATATAATAATATAATAAATATATAATTATATTTATATATTATATATTTAAATATTAATATTATATAATATGTATATATTATATAATAAATATAATAATAAATTTATATAAAAATAATAATTATTAATAATATATAAATATTACTATGATAAATATAATTATTATTATAAATGTTATTCTGAAAATGTAATTATAAATTCACAACTATAATTTTTTGTTATATAAATATCTCAAAAAAACAATAATATGTATTATTTATTTATAATTAATAATCACTTTCATAATTATATTATGATTATAAATTAAATATTATAAATTATATTTATTATATTTATATTAAATATAATAATATAATAAATATATATAATTATATTTATATATTATATTTAAATATTAATAATATATATATATATATATTATAATAAATATAATAGTAAATTTATATAAAAATAATAATAATTATTTTTTTATATAAATATTACTATTATAAATATAATTATTATTATAAATGTAATTATGATTAATGATGATTAGTAGATTTACATTATAAATAGAATTATATTAATATTATAAATATATTTAAAATATATATATAAATACTACTTACCGTTTCTTTGTTATTAACAGTTTCAAAAAAAAATATATATATATATATAATCTTCACTTAAATCTGTTTTGAAGAAAAAACAACAGTTTAGTTATAAGAGATTGGCAAAAGACTGAGCTTGAGAGAATGATAGAACTCGACGCAAAGAATGTTTGCTTCGCTTAAGGACAAGGTAATGTCTGCAGAAAACAGGTCTTCTTCCACTCTTTTATATATACATATATATATATATATATATATGTACATATACATATATACATACTGGTAAATCGTTCTACAAACATAAACGCTTTCATTGATAGGAATAAATAGAAGAATGGATGATTGTGGTGGTGGTGGTTAACGTATTAACCAATAGTGGGAGCTTAGTCAGAACTTGAGGAAAGATAAAACGAAGGAAAACCAAATAAGCGAGATGAGATGAGGAAAATATTTGTTAAAAAATCTATATATATAGATATAGATATACATTTAATAATAGTATACATTTAATAAATCTAGATAAAAAGAGAAGGAAGGTCAACAATATGATATTTCATCTTTAATTGTTTCTAAGAATGTTGTTTTTTTTTTTTTTTATAATATTAAATTATTATTTTTATATTTTCCAAATTTGTGATTAACGTTGTTGTAATAATATGATGTGTTTAATTTATATGATTACATGGGATAAAATAGAAAGGATTACACTTTAACACATTGAGTATTGAATTATTTGTGACATTTTTATATATACGTAACTAATTTAATTTGTTATTGTAATTATATATGAATTAATATGTAAAAGTAATATATATTATTGATGATATATATATATATATTTTTTTTGCAACAACATTTTCATTACTAAATATTAATAAATATTACATAAATAAAACAAACTACTCAAGTAAGTAGATGACGTGTCTCACTTGTCAAATGTACCCAAAGGGTTCATAATTTTAGATATATTTTAACATGAGATTACTCAACACGTGTGTTACATCTTAAGAGAAAATAAAAGATGAACAATAACAAAAGAATAATTCAAAACCTTGTTTTGAAACTTTACTTAAAATAATTAAATAAGAATAATACCATTCTAATTCGCCTAATTAAACAACTAATACATCTTTAGTCCTTGACATTAATTTAATTTAACAATACAGTCTCAGAGATATAATTGTAATATTAATTAAATAAACATTATTTAACATGATGAAGAAAACATAAATTGGTTTCTAATATCGTGTTACTTGTCTCTTATTCTTAGACGTTTATTTCAAGTGCAAAGACCTTTTCCCTTTTCCCATCCTTTTCTCATCCCTTCCCTCTCCCCCCCACCCCCGTTCTCTTCTTTTTTTCTTTTTTTCTTTTTTACTCCTTGCTCCTGCTACACCGGTTTATTTTAACCTTATTCTCTTCTTCTTCTTCTTCTGCTTCTGCTTCTTCTGCTTTTACTTCTTTTTCTTCTTCTTCTTTCTGTTTCTAACATCGTAACACGAAACGTTCTTATTCAATATGCGATAACAAGTTCACTTAACTTTAGTAACGTTCATTAAATTTCTAATCATGAGGAGAAATATCATTGTAATACACTTTCGATTTTATCATTCAATGAAATTGTATTCGTGTGTTTGTTTTGACCTTATGTAATGTTGTTGGGTTTAAACGTTGAGTAACATTTTGTTTTTTTGACCGTTGTTTGAATAATTGTATGAGGAAAAAAGAAAGTGAAAATGTTGACTGAAAGGATTGCTATGAATAAGAATTAAAAAAAGGGAAAACGCCTCTACGAAATAATAATAATAATAATAATAAGTTATTATTGTTAATAATTATTTTAATATTAATTATTATTATAATATTATTTATAATTAAATATTGAAACATATTTTTATATGTTAAAATTGTATTTAGGTTTGTATTAAATGTAAAACATATTTTTATGTATTACCATTGTATTTAGGTTTGTATTAAATGTAAATCATATTTTTATGTATTACTATTGTATTTAGGTTTGTATTAAATGTGAAACATATTTTTCTATATTAAAATTGTATTTAGGTTTGTATTAAATATAAAGTATATTTTTAGGTATTAAGTTTGTATCTAAGTTTGAATTAAGTATGAAATATGTAATTACTGTATTTAAATGATGCAGATTTGTAGCATATTGCATTATTTGTTTTAAGTAAAATTGTATTTAAGTTTGTATTAAATGTAAAACATATTTTTATGTATTACTATTGTATTTAGGTTTGTATTAAATGTGAAACATATTTTTGTATATTAAAATTGTATTTAGGTTTGTATTAAATATAAAGTATATTTTTAGGTATTAAGTTTGTATCTAAGTTTGAAT